TATCACAGTTTTTCTCATTTACATCGTGATGAGTATTTTTGGCCGTATCGCCCTGCCCTAATTCACCAGAGATCTAGTTTGCTCACCTGAAGGCAGTAGAAGTATGGCCCTGGTTGCTCCCGACTCTGAAGCCTTCAGCTTTTTGCCCTTCTCAAGTTGCTCCTGGGGCAAAGTTCCCTGAAAAATAAACATCAAATAAAGACGCTCAAAGTCTCATCTGTTCCCGTGAAAATCTATAAAACGTGTTTGGACGCTGGGAGCTCACCTGTCCAATGATCTCCTTCAGGTCACAGAGTTTTCTTTTGCGCTGTGCGTTCTGAGCTGCCAGGGTCCTCAGCGAGACGTCTTTATCCAGCTGTGGGGTCCTGCAGCGCAACAACAGTAGCCGTTAGCTAAAGCCCCTAAAAGGCCGTCTAGACGTATTCTACCAAAGAGACCGGAGACTTCACCTTTTTGCAATGATGGTGGCAAGACTGGGGGCGTTCAAAGGCTCCGGTGGTGCTGGGGAAGCTGTGCGGCTGCCCGGCGCGCTGAACGGGGAGCTGGGGTAGCTGTGGACGTCCTGTGTGACGTGGACGGGAGAACTCTCGAGGGATTTGACTGGTCCACAAGACAGAGGCTCATCTGGACTCAGGCTGCGCAGCTGGAAGTCATCGTCCATGGGGATGTAGGGAGCCAACATCTCCAGATCCAAATCCTCCATCGTCTTAAGGGGAGAAAACAAGTCGAATGAGTTATAATCTAGACAGCTGTGGTCTGCTGTAGAATAGAGATGAACATGGTTTCAATCCAGTAAAATGCACAGTATCTCCCACCTGTGTGTTGAAGGGGGTTTTGGGCTCTGTATCGATGGCGAACAGCTTCTCCACCAAGTCTAGTTTAAAATCGGAGTTTATTTCTGAATCCATGGGGAAACAGAAGTCCATTGGACCATCAGCCTGAAGACAAGAGAAGTCGAATGTCGTTATCTTTTTAGTAGATATTAAACGGACAAAAAGAGTTTGTTGTCTGTCATGAAAAACCACAATAGTGTGCTAATAACTGACCTCTGGGGGGCTGTGTCTGCTCGCTGTGGGGGATGGGGCGGCTTTTGCATCTTCAGAGGTGGTGCTGGTGATGCTGAGCGGCTCGCTGGGCGGCAGAGGGGACAGAGGCAGAGCCAGCTTGTCGCTGGTGGAGGGAAGCATTACATCGTTGTAGAGAGGGACATCCTTCAGCAGCTGGATCTCTGAATCTGTACCAGAGGACGGAAGAAGGTCAGAACGGTTTCATTCATCAGGACGTAAACTCTGATTTAAGCCTAGAGAAGTTTCATCGTGTGAACAAAGCCACGAACCGGGGCAGCTGAAGTCCAAAGAGATGATTGTGTCTCCAGCAGCCGGGGCCAGGAGGGTGAGGGCTTCTGGCTCTTCCTTCAGCTGGTCATACAGGCTGACCAGCGGCTTGGCCTCAACCACCTGGGTAAAGAGCTTGATGACATCCATCTCTGGGCCTTTCTCCTCGTCCTTCAGCAGGACTGGAGACAGATCGGCCTCGCTGCTCAAGGTGACAGTCTCGTCTTCCTCCTGCTGCTCCTTCTCCTCCTTCACCGGCTTCACGTCCTCAGTCTGCTCCAGAGACAGGATCATTTTCTCCTCTTGGATGCCACTGTAGCAGAGCAGAGACACATGAGGGTTATGCAGCTGTAAAAAAAATAGTAGCAGTGTTTTTGCAATGGCTCTGAAAATAACCTCCCAAAAAACTTATGATTCATCTGTTTTGTGCAGTTATTCGATTTCACTTTAGGATTTATAAAAAGAGCCGTCACAGTACCTGAGCACAAAGTTGACACAGACAACACACTGTGGCTGGGAGTTCTTGTTGTTGTAGATGACAGTGGCCTGTGTTTCCACCCAAACAAAGCCTCCTTTCTTGGCCAACATCCGGTACCGGCCTGTGCTGACCTGGCCCTTTGCAAACACTAACAGCAACAAGGAAAAAAACAAAAAAGTGAATATGAGTTAGACAAAATAAACAGCTGAAGTTTGCAGACTTGGATAATATTGCAGTTTAAGTTCCCTGCACTCTTGTTTGTTTATTTATTTGTTAATGCTTACAGTTGTGATGAGTCTTGGTAAGATGATCCGAGTCCAGAGCATGATAGTATTCATACACAGAACGGTTCAACAGGTCCTCTGGATCGTAACCCATGAGCTCAGTGATCCTGGAGAAACAACAAAGAAAGATGATTTTAGGAGATGAAGCTGCTGCAATATCTGGACTCAGCACTAGGTGGCTCTGTGTGACTACGCTAGCCAGAGCTGTGGCAATGACAGAAGCTGAAAAGAACAACACAGCTGGTGTAAGAAGTTGAATCACGCCTGATCCCTGTGTAAGCTCCTGAGCACATAATATTCACTTAGATGTGCAAACCAACCTCTCATCACAATACGTGAACTTCATGTCCATTGTGTGGCGGCTGAGAAAAGTCTTGGTGTCCAGAGGGGCCTCGATGTTGGAGGGATGTGGGATGGGGTCGCAGATCAAAACCAGGTAGGGGACGGGCGGCTCCTTGTGCCCGTTGGTGGTCGGCTCGGTTTGGCTGCTGTCATAAACACGCACATGACCTGAGCAGTGAAGCACCTACAGAGACGACAGGGAGGTCACAACCACAGCTTTTCTCACGCAGCAGGCAGATGATTATTGGATCACGTGGCTTAAACTGATAAATATTTATTCACACTTTCAAACAAACTAACTATTTAAGGTTCCGGGTGTGTGGTTTGCCGTTGGGAGGTTTTGGCAGCTGCAGCAGCGACTGTGTACTTATGTGTGACCAGGAAAGATATTTCCTTCTTCTTTATATTTACATTTCATAAAATGCAGTTTAAAGGGAAATATCATGTGGAAAACACTTTCCAAGAGTTACAGAAAGCCGAATACTTCAAAATCTGAGAGTTTTACTCATAAGTGAGCTGAATAAACAACTTAATTAATGGTTATTATTAAAATGACTCATGCTAACTTAGTGCTTTTGATCCTTTTAATAGATTTGTTCCCAAAAACACTGAACATGAATCTGTAGTTTGTACATGTGTATATATGTATTAACAGATGCATACACTGATGGTTTCATTTGCATCATGATCTGTTTTATCTGCAAACTATGAGACAACTGCTGACACAGACACCTGCTGTGGACGGATGATTTCATTGATCTTTATCAGAGTCACATTAGAACCTCAAACTAAAATGACGTAATGTGCCCACTAAAGAGTGGAGAGAGATAATGAGCAATAATTGTCATCGCAGCGCTTCGTTATTGAGCGATAACAGGCCCTACAACCTCACAGCAGACCAGTCATGCCAGTTTTAATGGGTTGAAAGAAGAATTAAAAGGCAATATAGTGGCCATATGTAACCCAGGCTTTATTAAATGTTGTTCCTTGAAATTGGATTAACCTGGCCAGCAGCTGCAGTGCTGACAAGCCCGGACGAAGAAGCATGCACGTGACAAAAACAGCAGCAGCTTCATTATAACTTGACTGTACTGCTTCTAATGCATTTTAAATAAAGGTGCTCTCTGATTCCTCTACGGCCTACCTTCCATGAAGCTGACTTCACATTGACAGTGCGGCCTCTGCTGGTGAGAGTACATTTCATTCGGAGAAAGAAGCTGCGCTCTGTGTTTGGTTCCTTGGCTTTCTTGGAGCCTAGAATCACAAAAGCAGACATGGAGCCACGGTTTAAAAAGGGGAAAACACTGTCATTTAAATGAAGACCATTGTCATTTAGAAACTGCCTCACATTTGCACTCAGAGAGGGCATTAAGAGCGAGGTGAACTACAGAGCGTCAAATAGGGGAAGTGCAGTTATGAGCCGTTATAGTCGGGACAATGTCCAAGTGCAATGTCATGCAAAAGAAGCAAACGCTGCCTCAAATTAGCATCTTTTGATAACAAATTATGTTCAGAGGCACAGGGAAGCTTCAGCATTTTACATAAAAAAACAAAACCACAAACACTAAAGCAATAGTAAACGGTACATACACATGATTCACTGTGAAAGCAAAACAGGAAATGTGTCAGCGATAAATAAACGGTCACTGAAATCAACACACAAGCCAGCTCTGATCACTCTGACCTTGGGACCAGAGTGGGAAAATGCTAAGTTGTTCTGACAGCTTCCTGGTATGGATGCGGCGGCTCAGAATGAATTGGACTCCCTGCTGACTGACTGTCTGTCTCTCCTCATTACAGGTCTGATAACATCAACACTGCTCACCTGTTCTGTGAACCAGCATCTCTCTCAGCTCCTCCTGGTCACAGGGATGTGTGAAGTCAAACACACTGTGTCCAGTCAGGTCAAACTGCAGCAGACAGACAAAAAAAAAAGGTGCTTTTACCACACACATGTGATTGCAGAACTGAGCCCTTTTCTACTGGACTAAATTTCACACATGACTTTAAATCTATATATTGATTGTTAACAGCAGAGCAAATCGTTTTTTTGCATGTTGCCTGCTGTTTCAGCAGTACCTGGACTAACTAAGCCATATTTAGAAAACACATGTTGCATATTAACGCAATAATTCTTCAGCCTTTAACTTTGTGCTTCTGACTTCTTTCCAAAATGAATCCTTTGCTTCCTGTTTCTAACACACAGCAGGTCAAAATGGACCAACCTGTGCCAGCCCGAGGCACTTGCTGACATTCTCTGAGAGATAAATCATATCTCCGTCCTCAGATAGCACCATGAGAAAGCCCTCCAAAGCCTTTAGGTAGGAGCTGTTTAGCTGGACATCGAGCTCCGTTTCCTCCTCTGCCAGTGGCTCATCTAAGGCAGATAACAGGAAGGGGAGGCAGGGGATTGAAAGACAAAAGGAGGTGTCGGGGGGGGAAAAAAAAAGAAGAAGCAACAGAAGATCAGTCAAAACAATCTCTGATGTCTGAAAAGTGTTTGCAGGAGGGGACACAAAAACAGACTGAAGCCACAGGTTTATCTGCAGGCCAATCTATATCCTGCATGTGTCTCAGTCAATTTTTTAAAGCAGCTGACTCACAGTGTCACCACTAATTGGCTGTTTTTGCCTGTAGCTTTCCATTTCAAAGCATGCTCCCTGTTCCTCTCTTCAAGGTGGCCTTTCTTTGAAATATAAGTAAATCTGATGTAATTCTAAAATCTGGACTCTCAATTGAAACACTCTGAAGTTGATTCTTAAATAACAATGACCTGTATAATTCAGATGTGCCCCAAACTAAACTGTCCATCATCAGATAGAACATGTGCAGATACTGACCGGTGCAGAGCAGTTTTCTCATGCGCAGGTAGCTGATGGTGAGCCTCATGATGGAGGCCTTGTCCAGGCTGGAGCTGACGCTGTGGGGCAGGGGCAGCTGCTGGGCCAGCTCGTAGAACACCTCCGACTCCTTCCCACGCCGGCATCGCGCTGCATCCCTTGATTTCTCCTTCCTCCGCTCCGAGCTCGCCCTGCGGGAGACAGGCGGCGGGTCAGCCACGGCTTGGCCAAACACTGGGTTTGCTATATGCACTACAAACGCCGACATCCCGCCTTCCTGACTCGAGTGCGTCTACAGAGTCTGTTCAACGGAAGAAGGCTGCAGCAGTCCGCAACAAACAATCTGACGGCCGAGCCATCGTCTGGACCCCAGTCACACTCATTTACATACAAGACTGTCTGCGAGTGTATTATTGGCTGCTGACCAAAAGAAATCGAGTCCACCCACTCAAAGTGATTGGCCGAGAGAGTGTGCACAGATTCTCCTGTCCGTCTTTTTGGTGCATGGCCAAGTTACAGTGCAACACCAATCATAGTGACATTTACGAGCCTGGTTCGACAAATCTACAGAGAAAGGGGACGATAATGCAGGCACTAACAGAGAGAGCACACACCCGAGTGGATGACACCTTCATCTGCCAGGACAAAGGGTCGGAGTGTTTATTTCTTCTCCTAGCTATCCTCATTACTGCTCACAGTAGCTCCATTTTAGATGCTTCACTTATCCAGGCGCTTATCCAAGATTAGGCTAATGGACTCTCACTACACTGTAAACACAACCTGACAACCTGACAGTATTTTACAATAACAAATGTCCTCTGGAGCAAACTTCAACAGGACACAAGGTACAGCTGAGTATAACAATAATTCTCTGACTCTCAAGGACTTCAAATGAATGGAAAAAGCACCGGTTTGACATTTTATTCTTCCTGCTGAGTAAGTGTGATGTTTACATGGCCACCAGCATAAACAGATCGGCTTATCTTCATCTTCATAATTGTCAGCCCGACCGTTGCTTCGTGCATACAAACATCCCCCTCGCAGGCTCGACAGCGAAACCCCAAATGCGTTTAGATGCCACTGGAGCAGCATCACAACAGAACAGATGACTTTTCAAAAGCCCTTGGCTATGAAATACACACCTAATTGAAATTGATCTGTTATCTGCTTACAGCACTGACCGAGGCCATAATGTTATTTGAGGCTCTCCAACAAGAAAATGGGCCAGCTAACTAAAATAGCCTACTGTATGTCGTATCACCTGACAGGGCTGCAGAACACTTTTTGTCACGGGCCAAAACTTTCCATCAAACACATGTGATATGCAAACCGCTCCACAATTAGCGTAACTAGTCCACTGGGGTGCACAGATGACATGAATCTGAGTCGGGCCTTTTGCCTCTCTGGGAAACCTGGTGCTGACCTAAGCCGAGGCCAAACTGTCTGCAAACACATGAGGACTTTGAGACAAGAGTTTAGTTCAGTCTGCTAAGCCATGGCATCATCAGCTCTATGGGATCTTTCTCCTTGTTCATCTAAACTCAATGTGACAAAACATGCAACAGTTTTTGGTGTATATACCAAAACTCCTCCTGTCAAAGATGTTTACACGCTCTGAAACATCTTCAAGCCGCAGTACAGTTTACAGCCACAGGCAAAAGCACATTTACCATTTCTACTGTTAATACAACCGACAAATATTTATAACATCTCATGTCAACCCAGCGGGACGGAGCGAGAATATCTGGCCATCACTACAATCAATCACAGTCATTTTCTTTCTCTCAAGCCTGAGTTCTGGCTCCTATGGTTACACGATAATCACCTCTAGCCTTCATTCATGTAAATAGGCTAATTTATCATCACAAATAATTAACAGGCACACACGGGTACAAAGTACACTCGGGGAAAAGTCCTCTCTACTGATGAGTTCCTGACAGTTACGGTCCGTACAGTGCCATAAACTACAGTCTCTCTGGGATGATTAATAATTACCAGCCTGAATAAAAAACCAGCTTCGCTGTCAGGTGTCTTCATGCAAATCCTGTTCAAATGAAGCTCAACTGCAATATACAGCAGCACCGAGTAGAGAAGTGCGCTACAAAGGAGGACGTACACTAAACCACTATGTAATACTGGAACATCATTTCCCTATTAACAGCCCTGATAGGAGACATGATAAACTTATAGGTCATTGACAGCAGCCGACAGTGTTCAAAGTGTGCCAGTTCAAAGTTTTAAAGACAACAGTCCTGTGACTTACATCTAATATCTTTCTTTTGTACTTTTCTGTCCTATTTACTTGCAATACTTAATTATTGTATATTTTGATGCCTGCAACATTTTTTTTCTTACTTATATTGAACCT